CAGAAGTTTACCAAAAGCTTCTGCGTGCTCAAGATGAAACAGGCATGGGGACGCCTGGGTGGCTCAGTTGGTTAAGCAGCTGCCTTCGGCTCAGGTCAGGATCCCAGCGTCCTGGGATCGAGTCCCACATCGGGCTCCTTGCTCATCAGGGAGCCTGCTTCTCCCTCTGCCTCTGCCTGCCATTCTGTCTGCCTGTGCTCGCTCTCTCTCCCTCTCTCTCTCTGACAAATAAATAAATAAAATCTTAAAAAAAAAAAAAAAAAAGATGAAACAGGTATGTCTGAATAATGGACAAGTTCCTTTTTCTTCTGGCCTACCCAGTTTAATGAAACTGTAACAATCACAACCAAAATCTGAAAGGCCTCAAAGTACTCTTAAGAGACTTATCTCAGCCTAGGAAACAACTTTTCTTGCCCATAACCTAAAATCAGTAAATTAGGGTATTCAATTTAAAGAACTGTATTGTTAAAAAATCCAGGACACTGGCCAAGTTAAATTTTACTTCAAAATCAAGAGGCTGGTTCAGCATCAGTGTATTTATCTATTTACTGTAACAATGAGCACCTACTCTGTGTTCGAGTCACACAGCAGACCAGGTAGCGATTACAGAGAACTGATAGAGGTTTAGGCCTTTAAGAAATCAGTATGAACTATACAAATGCACTAAAAGAAAACAGACAAAAGTAAGGCTAACATTACATGTTAAGAACTACAACAGGATTATATAACAATCTATAGATTCTATTTATTGTATAATATCAACTTCTTTCTTACTCTTTCACCCTTTCCAGGCACTCGATGGCACAGCAGTCAGAAATACAAGAGGCTGTGATCACAAAACCAAATAGCATCCTAAAGAATCTGTTGAGGCTAAGAAACCTTCCAAGTGGGAAGACTGGTTGCATAGTCAGCAAGACTAGGCTAACATTACTGGTTTGGAGTGGGAAGGAAAAATGGGTATTATTTTCAATTAGGCATACGTGTGTACCTTCATGCAAAACACAGGGATGATACAAAATAATCCTTGACTTCAAGAAGCCTATAATCCAGTCGAGGAAACAAAAGCAACAGATGTTAACAAATTTAGCACTCTAATCCCAAAATGGAGCTTATTTAGATAACCAAGAAATAAAAAGTAAAGGTCATGGGGTATAAATTTTTGAGGAAGTGATATGAAGGGGCCAGTTGAAGTGAACTGAAATGGTTTAAATAAAGGAAAAGTGCATGTTACTGGCAGTAGAAAGAATGTGAATGAAGAGGAAAAGCAACAAACAGGTTGCTTTTTCAACTTGAGTCTGCTGAAGTACCTCAGCAAATGGAAAAATAAAGGGGCAACTGGTGGTATCCTATTTGCTCAGAAAGATCCTCACCCACCCACTTAAAAGAAAAAAATATTAATAATTTTTTAAAAATCCCCCTAAACCCTGTAAAGAAAACAGATCAAGATTTGGCAATATTTTCTCTTAATGGTGGAAAGTCAATTTCTTAAGAGCCACAGACCAGAACAGGTACATGTCATCAACAATAAAATGTAAAGAAAATCTCTAAGTATGATTAACGTATTTATTCTGTAAGAGATATAGTGAAAAAATATCTACCATGCTGATGCAAAAAATAATAATAAAAAACAGAAATTCGGCCCAAGTTCCACTACCGATTTAATAGTTTCAAAATATAAGTTGCTGTAACTTCGTATCTGCAACCTACCTCACATCAAGATCACCCCCACCCTGTCACTACCACTGCTGAGAAGCTCTGTGTTTTCAGTGACCTCAAAATAGCTAACATAATTTTCTAAAACTAATGATAATGTATTATACTTATTTAGCAGTTTGTAGTTTTTCACAACCATTATATCCACTGGGTCTCAAAAATCACCCAGTGAGGTAAAACAGTGGTTACCCATTCCTATTTCACAAATAAAATAACTGGAGACCAGGGGCACCTGGGTGGCTCAGTCAGCCTTTGGTTAAGTGTCAGGTCTTGATCCTGAGGTCCTGGGACGGAACCCTGCATAAAGGCTCCCTGCTCTGCGGAGCAATCTACTTCTCCTTCTGATCCTCCCCCCTGTTCATGCTGGAGCTCTCTAATGAAAAAAACAAAAAAACAAAAAAACAAATACTTAAAAAAAAATACTGGAGACCAGATAGGTTAAGTGAATAGCTCAAGGTCACACAGCTACTACTGGCACTGTGTGAATTCCCAAGCCATTGTTTGCCTCTTTGCTGGAATGATGTGCTTAAATAGGATCATAAAATCTTACCTAGATAACATAAATACAGTAATCTTAAAAGTTAAAATGGAAAGGTAAATATTCAAATTTACTTTGCTCGGTGAAAACACGGATTTTATACTGACTTAGCATCCCCTTAATTTAAAAAAAAAATTATTTTAGCTTAGCAGCTTCTGGAACTCTAACTGCCAAATTCTAAAACTTTTAGAAAGGAAATGAAAAACTGAAACAAAAGGCCTGCTCACGGACACAAACTAAACAATAACCGTGAGCTCAGCAGACTTACAAACCCCTCAAACTCTCTAAAAACTGGGAATCCAATAGAAATGATGATAACGTTATTTATATTCTACATTAATTACATGGCAATTCTTAAATCCTTATGGATACTGGCACATTCACAGAAAAGCAGATGTAGACAAAGCCCACAAACTCCAACAATGTTAATATGCTCTCTTAAGCGTAAAATAAATGAAATAAAAACTCTCCAAACAATCTCACAATGATGTGTAAAAGCCACACTAATTCATTAATGTTTCTGGGCCTGAAAATGGAGCAGGGCTGTTTCAAAAGAAATTTACTTTAAAATTTACTTCAAAATTCACACTTAGTATTGATCTCTTTGCATAATGAAAATAAACCTTAATAAAACTATCTGCATGCAACTGTCTCTAACCTGATGATGCCATTCCTCAACCTTAACCGCCCCCCCACCCCCTCCACCCCGAGTAAATGCGACACACAAACACACCACACACAGGCCTCATATATAGGCCTCTTGCCTTTTTCCCCAACAACTAGGACCTTTGTTCCAAGCGTCGGTTTTTTGCCCCACTCAATAGCTCTTTCAACTTTCTACCCTGTATTTTTTGTTTTGTTTTGCTTTTAGAGAGGAGATCCTCAGCCTCAACTTTCTGGGTCTTTAAAAAATGAAATGCCAGAAATATCTATAGAGAAACTGGAGAGGAAAAGAAAGTTGAACACAGCACTAAAGGGCCTACAAAACGGAGTAAAGCCCGGGGATCGGGTGACCTGGCAGCCCAGGCAAGATCCGGGAAAGGCCGACTAGGAAAGGAAGACAGCAGGGGAACAGTTAGACGTCCACTCAGAACACATTCACTGCACTAAGAAGCATACCCCTGAACGCCTCACACACGAACGTTTACTCACTGACACAGTCCCTCCTTCAATTAACTAACGAAGCAATTAAACTCTACCCACCTCCAGACACGACGGTCAAGCTAAACGTCCCCAAAGTAAAACGGCGTTATCAAAGACAAACGAACGTGTCTTAAGGGTTTAGGAGCAGCCCCTTCCGTTCCTCCTTACCACACAAGGTCCCCCCAGCAGTTCAAATGTGTTAAGTTATTTCCTCCCGATTTGCATGTGTTTTTAAATCTTTATTCTTTTCCCTGTAGCAAATTAAGGATTCCTGTTACTCTAAGGAAGGAAACGCCACGAAGGACAGGATTTGGGATTTTTCCAGCCTTCGTTATTTGAACTCCCCTTAACTTGTTTCTCAACTAGAAACCCACTCACCATGGAGGAGGATGGAGGAGAGGGTGAACTGAATGGACAAACGATATAATAGGTTTTATGTAATCCACATATAAATAAATTAATCGCCTGACTCGCTTTGAATGCTAATACGATTGGAGTGACAACTGGTCCACCTCCCTTCCAAGTCCTGGACCCCCACCCCCGATTTCCACTCTGATCTATTCAGAAGCATGCTCTGCTCCTCTCAGTCAAGTTTCTCGGCCTCTTTTCCAGCCCCCCCTGCACGCCCGTCTCTTCGTCATCCTCAATCTCAACTTCCCACGGCTAAAGAAACTGCCCAGCGCAGACCCCTGTCTCCGGCCTCGCCCGCCCACAGCCCTCCCCCCTTGGCAGGAAACCCCTTACTGCGGTCTAAAGTCACTCCGGCCTCTCCCTCCTCTGACCCTCGCTTCCCACAACTGTTGTCACTCGAGCTGCTCCCTAGTTTCCATTTCCGGGCCGTCCCCGGTCCTGGAGCCTCCCCTCTCCCGGTTTCCGGGCCCCCCGTCCCATTTCCGGGGAACCCTTGCCGTCTTCACACCCCCCACCTGCACTTCCGGCCCCCCACTTTCTCGCTTCCTAGACGCCCTCCAAGCTCCAAAGCCCACTTCCGGCCCCCCCCGGCCCCCACCGGGCTCCCCAAGACCCGCACGCCTTACCCCGGTTCCGTGAAGGGCCCTCCTCATCGCGGGGGCCAGAGGGGGGACCCAGCGAACCACCCCGCTCCCACCCGGCCCCGGTCTCCCTCGAGCGCCTCGCCCGTCAACCCCCGGCCCGGTCCTTCCGCGGCCCCGCCGCTGCCGCCGGGAGCAGGCCGAGCGGGGGCCGAATCGCGGCGATGACACAACCGGGCTTCCTGGGACTTTCTGTTCCAGCTCCTCCCCACCCCCCTTGCCGCCCCCCCAACCCCTCGGCACAACCCCCTCCCCCAAGCCTGGCCCGGCCGCTCGGAACTGAGCCCCAATTACCTAGTTGGGCCCCAAAGTCTCCGGTCCGGACTCGGTGGCGCGGCAGTAACTTCCACTCGCTCCCCCCCCCCCCCCCCCGCGGCGGCGGCGGCGGCGGCGGCGGCTCCTCGGGTCCCTTCAATTATCAGCTGAGCCGCAGCACCGCGGCCGGCGTGCGCCTCCGCCCGCGCCGCCTCCCTCCCCGCCCGTTCCTACACCCTCCGGGAACTATTTTGCTCGTCGGCTTAAGCTGACGAGCTCGTCCGCGGGAAAGGCCCGCTGCCTACTCGCGGCCCATCACATCGCCCCTCCCTCCCCCACCGCCCGGAGCGACTCTCCCAGCGGCCGGAGATCTCCTCCTGATCCCTTCGAGGGACCAGGAAGGGGAATGTGGAACTGTGCTTGGTATCCCTCCGCCGGGGTCACCCCCTCCCCTCCATGGTAGCAGGAACTAATTCCCTTTCGGGTCACCGGGGACCTGAGGTTTGAAATTTCACGGACCAGAGTTCCCTCTGACTCTTGGGAGAGAGGTCGACCACCCCAAGGCAGAAACCCCCAGCTAGCTCAAAAGCGGGGTTCGATTTAAACTAGGGCTTTGGCCCCATGACCCCAATCAAGCCCCGCCCCTTCCTGGTTGTCTTAGCGACGGCGGTGGCGTCCCAAGATGGCGTCGTGGCTGCCGGAGACTCTGTTCGAAATTGTAGGACAAGGCCCAGCGCCGAGCAAAGACTATTACCAGTTATTGGTCACCCGGTCCCAGGCAAGTGCGAGGCGCGGTTTACCCTCTCTAACACCCTGTCGCCCGGGTGGAGCGCGGAACGCGAGCCGCGCTAGGCCGAGAGCGACTGTGGCCCGCCGGAAGCGTCCGGTCCTAGCTCCGAGCCGGGAAGATTTTCCTCGTCACCTGGGCCTCCTCGGCCGGCTCCTCGGTGGCCCGCGTGTCTTTTCCCAACCCCAGCCCGGCTCGTCTCTGGCGAGCTTTCTTTGCCTTCCCACATCGCCGCCCGCTCCCTTCTTGCCACCCGGGGCTCCTACCCGCAGAGTTCCCTCCGCGCGAAGAGAAAAACAGGCGTCCCTGGCTGGCGTGCAACCTCACCTCAGCGTGGGAAGGAGAGAAAGAAAGACTCAGCCAAGTGTCCCAAGGAGGAGCCGGCAGGGGAGGGGAGAAAGGGAAGATCTCTTTTCCAGGGTAGGAGCTAATCATGGGGGATTTTTAAAATCTCATTGTGGTCTTTCCGGTACCACGACCACATCAAAACTTCTTTATCTCTAGTAGGAATTGATCGTTGAGAGCTTTCCCCTTACCTTTTTGGAGCCCCTTCTATCCCATTGAAAGTGTGCGGGGGGTGGTACAAAAATGTTTCAGCTGCTCTGCGCGTCAGCCCCACCCATAATGACATCTGCTCCACAACAATAAGACCGAGGATTATGTTATCGCTGGAGTAAAGTAACCATCAGCCTATTTTTATGACTACTTTAGCTATTTAAGGTGGGCTTTTTGGTTGATTTATTGTGCTCATAAAATGATCAGGTTGAACTGGGCCTCCACTCGGAACACATTTTCTGATTCCTGGCTGAGCTTAAGCCTGTCTCTGAGATAAAGCTCCTTGTACTTTAACAGATGGTATTTCTATAAAATGAAATTTAGAATTTTGAATATATTTGTTTTGGTATAGCTATTGAATATGGCATCAGTTTTCCCGTGAGCCCTTAAGTAGGCAAAGAATGCTTTTTTAATTGCTTCAAAAGCATCTTTTAAAAATAATACATGTATTTTTAAACCTGATATTTATAAATATTGCAAGTATATCAATAATAAAAGTGTGATAACCTGTCAAACTTAGATATTGAATTGAACATTTTGGCGGGGGGATTTTTACACATTTAATTGGAATTTCATAATCGCTGAAATTCTTCTTGTTGGACATTTTTAGAACCATTTTCCATTCGTCTTAAGATGTATGATCCTACAGTTTTTCACTTTCTAACACTAATGATTGAAAGCAATAACACCTTACCATATTCATACTTTGTTTTCTATTTCCATCTACCTCACCTAAGTTAAAATGTTCTAATGTTTACAGTTTTTTCCATAATTTGTCTCTTAAAAAAATTTTTTTTGAGGATTTCTTTTTCTTGAAAGTCCATTATTACAAGTGTACTGTCATGTGTACTATCATGTCCTAAGCATCAACGAATGAATACTTGTTTAGCTTTTTATTTTAGTAAATTAACCATAAGAGTGTTCCTGGCCATTAGTTTTCCCCAAGAATGCTTCTGTTGTTGATGTTCAGACTTTGCTCTGTAGTCTCTAACTTGGGCACACGCCTTCTTCTAGCCACTGTGTTTTATGAAACACCCCTCCCCCACCCAAGTATTCTTACAGCTTTCTCTCTCTTCTTCTTTTTTCTTTTCTTTTTTTTTTTTCCTTTCATTTTCTTTCTTCTCTTTTCTTTGTTTCTTTCTCTCTTTCTCAGATCAAAAACTGACTTTCATTTGAGGCCCTATTCTTCGTGTCAATTGCTTCTATATAAAATCCTTTTCAAGCTGATTCATTTTCTTTTTTAAGCAGGCAGAATATATCCACTACAGTTCAACCAGTGCAAGTTCATCTCAAATCTGATTAATTCACTCTCTTTTTAAAGTAAAATTGGTTGTAAAAAATAGTAAGCCAAAAAAACAGTCTTTTCAGTCAACTGTCTTGAGAATATGCTATTTTCTGACCACAAGACAATTTTTCTAAGGCTCAGCACAGGAAACCAAACATCCACTAAGAGGTGGTCTGACATAAATAAGTACTAAAACACTAGAATTAAAATGAGTTTTATAAGATGGACTTTTTCTGAAGTGACTTTCTAAAATTTTTCCTCTCTCTTTCTTCCTTTATTTCCAAAAATGTTGTACATTATTCGAAATAGGCCCCAGATTTAGATGGATCTTTCTGTTCTTCTGATTCTCTTTTTTATTCTTTTTCACTGCTTTTATTTTTATTGGCTTTAAATTGAAATAACTGCACATTTCACATGGATGTGAAGGCAGATATCTCTCATTAGGGTCATACCACTGTTGGTATAGTCCAGAATATAGATGTTATACATAAATATTTTTTTTGCCTTCTTACTTATACAGTAACAGTAAATATATATTTTTATGCTTATAGAGACATTCCCAATTAACAACTAGATACCATGATTTTTTGTTTTTTTCCCTAGAAAGGCACTTACAGAATATAATTTATGGTCAATATAGTTTCTCACATTTGATCTTTATAATGATCTGAAGGCTTAGAAAAATCACTGCACTGCTTTCTAAATCAAAGATTTATGCAATTATTTTCACTCTAGTTTTAGTAGTATATATATTTTCTTATATTGGATTCTAATTCTTTGAAAACTGCTAGATTCATAGTAAATTAGAACTGGAAAGAACCTTGAATATTATTTAGGCAAAGGATACTCCACACTTTGCTTCTAAGAAAATCTTAAATTGTATTCCTGAATGAAGAAGATCCTTTCCTTAATTTAATCAGCAAGTTGGCATTTACTATGGAGATGCAAAATACAAGATTTTTGGCTTCAAAGAATTCATCTTTCATTCCACAAATCTGTATTAAGCACCTTTTATGGCCAGGTACTGTTCTGGATGCTGGGAAAACATCAGTAGACCAAACAAAATCCCTCCTCTTGTGGAGCATGTAATCTAGGTGAGAGAATATAGTTAGTGATTTGATTTATATAAACACTGAAATGGCTTTTCAAGAACAAAGGAAGTTCATAGCCAAATTAATGGATAGCACAGATGATTTAAAATCTGAGACCAGAGGAAAAAAAAATCACTTTAGAGTAGAAGGCTCGGGAGGGTACAATAACCAGTCTTTTACTCTTGAAACTCTGTCTTCTTCGTTCTCTTGAAGTGGAAGTATTGCTTAAGGTGGTCACCCCTGGTGACTTAAGTTTAATGTGACAAACAATGGAAAACTGCTAGAAACAGTAACTGTATGATGAAAATTGACAGATAGTGGCCTCTTGCACCTGTGTTAGGAAGTCATCCCAAGAGTACCAACATGTGATAGTCGGTCCAGCGAATAAAAGGAGGAAGAATGAGTAACAGATTACCTTAATTTACCTATTTTACTTAAGCCTACTAAAAACTCCAAAAAGATACCTAAAGCTAATGTCATCTGGAAAGAAAAAGAAGAAAGAAAAGAAATTCCAAAAGCTCACTCCTCAAAAATAACAAATATTTTTGATGTGCTTTAGAGTTGTAGCTCTGACAGAAAACATGTGAGGTCGCATGGCAGCCTGTGACAGGAAACTGTCCTCTCCAAAGACTTCTGAAAAAGGAATTAAAACTAGACTTAGTGGCTGATGTTTTAGGCTTTGCAACAAAGAATCTGGCCGATACTGTTTCAAACTGCATAGCAATTTTAAAGATTTAAGATTCAAGCACAGCCTAATAAAAATGTTAATACATGCACCCTTTGACCCTGCAAGTCCATTTCTAGGATTTCATACACAAAAATGCTTTCATCTATGTACGAGGATATGTGAGCAAGAAGTTCACCAGAGTGAAATAATTGTAAAAACATACTTCCATTAGTGGAAATTTCGTTAGACTGAATCATTCATACCAACGAATACTATACAACCTTTTAACAACAATGTGATGGATCTCTTTAGTAGAACAGATCTTAAGCAAGAAAAGTAAGTTTCTGGGTTAAACATTACGGTGATGATCCTGTTTGAAAAAAATGACCACCACAAGAGTTGTATTTTATTTTGAATAAATGTTAATGAAATTTAAATAAATGTCAGAGGAAACAGTTGAAGCTCTTGACTCTGAGGGTTGGAATTTTGGATTGCTTTCACTTTCTGCAATATATATATATATATATATTTTTTTTTTAAGATTTTATTTATTTATTTGACAGACAGAGATCACAGGTAGGCAAAGAGACAGGCAGAGAGAGAGGAAGGGAAGCAGACTCCCTGCTGAGGAGAGAGCCCACTGCGGGACTCGATCCCAGGACCCTGGGATCCTGACCTGAGCCAAAGGCAGAGGCTACCCACTGAGCCACCCAGGCGCCCCAGCATTATATATTTTTGAAAGCTCCAAGTTTTTCTACAGTGAACATTTATTTTTATAATCCGAGAAAAGCAATAAAAATTGAAAATGAAAAGGTGGGCAGATAGCACTGCTCTGTACTTGAACTTGCATCTGTTGCACCAGTATCATCTCTGAGCCACCTCCCATTACATGATGGGCAGCATTAATAAGTGTCACCAGAGACTACTGACCGGGGGCAGGGAGTGGTTCTAATTCAACAAATTCAGAGAGTGAAAATGGATTGATGATTACTTATGAAATTTTAATGTCTAGAAATTCCTGATTTTATGGGGTCTTTTGCTTTTTAGGTTTGTTTTTTTTTTTTAAGATTTTATTTATTTATTTGAGAGACAGTGAGAGAGAGCATGAGTGAGGAGAAGGTCAGAGAGAGAAGCAGACTCCCCGTGGAGCTGGGATCCCGATGCGGGACTCGATCCCGGGACTCCAGGATCATGACCTGAGCCGAAGGCAGTTGTCCAAGGAACTGAGCCACCCAGGTGTCCCGCTTTTTAGTTTTTTAATGTAGGTAATACTTTTGAGAAAGTAAAAGATTGTCTTCTGTTGCTTTGTTGGGGGTGAGATAGTACTAAGGCGCCATTAAGGAACAGAACTTCTCAAGTGAATTAAAATTGTATTAACTAGACACCAGGTTGC